TCTTAACGAGGTCTAAGAGACTAAGGTGGAGGCTCCAATGCTTTCCTGATCTAGCCTTAGAGGTCAAACCCTGTTACCTCCACAGTCTGCTAGTTGTCACACAGGTGAGCCGTGATCCACTATTTTGTTGTCTTTTCCAAAAGAGTGTTAGACTATGTTCTGAAAGGAAGTTAAGTGACTTCAGAATCAGTTTGATCCTTTTGAAGCTTGTTTTCAAGTTTTGTGATGTTGCTATAGTGAGTCTAAGGTTGTGGCTAACGGGTAGTAGCTATGAGCCACATGCGGCTATTTAAATTTGTTAATACGGGGCACCTGGGTGGCTCAGTCGGTTAAGCATCCGACTTCAGCTCAGGTCATGATCTCACAGCTTGTGAGTTCGAGCCCCAAGCTGGGCTCTGTGCTGACGGTTCGGAGCCTGGAGCCTGCTTCGGATTCTGGGTCTCCCTCTCTCTCTTTGCCCCAACCCACTCGCATTCTGTCTCTCTCTCTCAACAATGAACGTTAACAAAAAATAATAATAAAATAAAAAAAAAATAAATAAATAAATACATTTGTTAATGCTAAATATGATTAAAAGTTAATTTCCTTAGTCACACGAGCCACATTTCGAGTACTCAAGGAGCCACCGATGTCTTTTGGCAAGTGCTTTGAGCAACACAAATGCAACCCATTTCCATAAATGTAGCAAGTTCTACAGGACAGAGCTGGCCTCAAGTAGCCTTTACTCTAGGACTGGTTTAGTCCTATTACTATACCGTTTACTCTTCTTCGGTCTCCACGGAATGCCCCGGCTTCACGGCTTCACTAAGGACCCTCCCCACTGGTTTCCCAGAATTGCAGACTTCTGCCAGCTCTGTGAGATCTCCAGAGAAGCATCAGTTTCCAGATCTCCAATCATTTTTGCCCAGCTTCATAGATTTTCACCGTATATTATGTGGCTTAGAACTCAGCAACGCATTCAAGACCCTTATGTAGACCTCTGGAGCTATTTCTCTGCACGGCTTCCTCCTTTCCATTCTGCTCCGCAGATTCCAGCTGCCCCAGCCTCCCCCCTCTCATCTCCGTTTCCTTAGCTGAGTCCAAATGCCGTAATATACTTGGATTGCCCTCCCTGCACGGTGGTCTGGAATATGCTATGAGGCAGAGAGCTGTGGTAATTCTAGGGCTCCCATCATTAGTCTCTTTGTCTCAAGGATAATGTCCTGCTTTTTCCTGTAGCCCAGTGTTTAAAAGATGTTACATGTATTTTTTCCAGCTTTCTAGTTTTTATGGTGGTAGTCTGTTTCTACTTGCTCCATAAGGGCTGGCAGCAAGTTCGTTCCCTTCCTTTTGAAGATATATATAGATATATATGTATGTGTGTGTGTGTGTGTGTGTGTGTGTGTGTGTGTGTATAATTTTACTCTATTATTTGGCATGTTGACATAATTATCCCTGATCTACTTCTCAACTCTCATGATTGTTACTATATAAAAATACTGCTTCATAAAAATACGCTGTTTTGTGACAATTGTTTTCGTTTTATTGGGGTAGAGGTGCTTTCATTTTGTGTATGATTTTTTTGTTGTTGTTTATTTAAGTTTTTGAATTTATCAAACCTGCCAAACATGCCAACCTATGCCAAAACCCAATAAATATGAAGAAAAAGTCAGTGAAAACTTTCACCTTTATCTGTTCTTTCATTTACTCAGTCACCAATCCCCAAACAGGTAACTATTCTTATTAGTTACTAGTGTATCTTCTTAGAAATACTTTTTGCTTATTCAAGGCAATAAAAATATAGGGTCATATTTTTCTTTTCTTTTTTTAATTTTTTTAAAAAATTAAAAGAATTTTATGTTTATGTATTTTTGAGGGAGAGAGACAAAGAGCACAAGCAGGGGAGGGGTAGAGAGAGGGAGACACAGAATGTGAAGCAGGCTCCAGGCTCCGAGTTGTCAGCCCAGAGCCCGACATGGGGCTTGAACTTATGAACTATGAGATCATGGCCTGAGCTGAAGTTGGGCGCTCAACCAACTGAGCCACCCAGGTGTCCCCTATTTTTCTTGTTTAAATAGAATATCTTAAAGATCTTTCTGTAACAGACAATAATATGGAATGAGAGGCAGAAGCATTAAAATGTTCAGAAAAACCTACTTTTTAGTAATTTTTCTCCTAAGTTATCAAGTAATCTCTAAATGGGGAAAAAAATAGAATTTTAAAACTTGAAAGATTGTGATAGATTGAGAAAATAACATCTTTTAAACCCAAAAGACTATGATAAATTTGCAAATAGAATATGGCTTCTCCATTCCTCACACCTGTGTCCTGGTCAAGATGGTGGTGCTTCTGAATCATAAGAACATTCGGTAACCAAACCAGTAATAGAGGCGATTCACGCCCTAGTAACTGTATACTCTACTTTCTTCCAGATATATATGTCAGAAGTTCAATGTGTGGCAATGCCACACATCATTGCAAGTTAAAATTAGGGCAAAAGGAGAGAGGTAGAACATAAAATTGGCATTAAGATGTAGGTGGAGATAAGACGAAAAATGCACTCTGGAGTCATAAATCTGGCTTTGCGTATTCTGAAAACCACATTTAAACTTTTTTTTTTTTTTTTTTTTTAGCTCCTTAGGGTAAAGACAGACAACTGCCCAGGGAAAGGATAGCTGATTTTGGAACAAGGCTCTGACGGGGACTTTTCCTCAGGGTGCTTCATAAAGAAGACACTGGGAGGTCACGCTCAACTTCGTTGGCAGCAGGTATCCTAAATCCACTCCTGTGGCCTTAGCAGGCATGGCTGCCCAGTGACCAGCCTGTGTTTAATCATCAGCCTGCTGAGGTGATTTATTTTGTATCTTGTATTTTTTATTTTATTTGTTTGCTTTCTGCTGAGTTCTGACCAGGCAGCGATCCATGTAACAAAAAGATGATAACATTATGAGAAGAGAACACGTGTAGGATGTTAGCGGTCACTCAACAAGAGCTGGAGATTTCTAAAAGACAGGGTGAGAATACGTGATGTTTAGAAACCACAAATGGGACCCCTCTTCAGGTGGAAGCATGTTTCCAATCAATCTGAACTATGTGCTGTTGCATGGGAATAGACTTTTGAGAAGTATGGGATGAGGTGATGAAGAAAATTTACTGTGCTTAGGGAAGGCAAATGATTGGTAAAGTATCTTATCTAGGGTAGTTAAAATACATACACACACCATACTTTGATGAATTCAGCCTAGGCACAGGGGCATAATTGACATACCAGAGTCAACAAGGTGAAGAGTAGAATAGGGGAATCAATTGTGGCATATTCATACAATGGCATACAGCCACGTGCCATAACATGAGTTAATCTCACAAACATGTTGAGACCAAGAAAGAGGCCAGACATAAAGGACTATAGATTTTTGAATTCCATTTATATGGAGTTCCAAACTAAGTAAAATTTAACAAGAGTATTAGAAACTAGGATCATGGTTAACTTTGGGGAGAAGGGTGGGTGTTTTTACTCATAAAATACATAAGCAATATTTCTGGGGGTATCAGTAATATTCTCTCTCTACATCTTAGTGATGGTAACATTGGCATTTGCTCTGAGAAATTCATTGTGTGATTCATTGAACTTCACAATTACGTTCTGTGTACTTTTCTATATGTGTGTTTTATTAAAAAACCAGCAAGAAAACTTTATTTAAAATTTTGAATAGTGAAAAATATTTTAAAGCTCAGTTTTTAAAATCAAAACATGTTTATTTTTAAAATTAAAAGTGTATAGAATTAACCTACAGACAATGGAAAGCAATGTTAACTATTTAACTAGAATTTTGGAGAAGATTCTGCAAACACTCCCTTCACCTAAATATATATGTATAAAATGAATAGAATGTCAACTATCAGTAGTTTCTGGCTATTAATGGAACGACTTCAGGTTAATTGTATAACTTAGTGTATTTTTTTAGTGTCATAATGGGGAACTAAATGTGTTTCAGAGAGTAAAACACTGAAAGATTCAAAGGGGTTTTACTTTGTGTTCAGTTCTATATCTCCAGTTCTCAGAACAATGTTTATGACATAATAGGTGCCAGGTAAACAGCTGTTGAAAAAGAGTAAATGTGTATTTGAGTATTTTGCTCTCTGAGAGGAGAAGATGGTGACCGTACTAGGGTGTGGCTGACAATCTTACTTCATGTCTATTAAATGCAGTGTTGCAATTGTAAATAAGTCTTAGCCTACTGGACATTTTTGTCATTCTCGTTGCCTTGGGAACAGAGATGAGGCAGAAGAAAACAACACTGGCCAAAGGCAAGGGTGTGGAACAGCCTGGCTCTGTGTGGGGAAGAGTGAGTAAGGAATTCCTTTTGGCTGAAGGGTAAGGGTTGGGGGGAAGGGAGGGAGTTAAGGATGGAAGATGGTAGAAATAGTAAAGTTAGGATAAGGCCACTGTGTGACATTCAACATCAAATGATAGCTCCACCCTTTTCATTTGCGCTCACACATGCCTGCATGCCATCATTCCGGCCCCTAATGCCACAGTGAAGGCCAATGAGATGAACGGGCCCCATGGTAGTTTATGTTCAATTTTCCTGAAACCTGCAAAGCTTTTTCTAGAATGTATCTGGGTGTCTAGAGAACATCAAGATAACTGGGAGAAAAAGGATCTGATTGCTGCTGTGTGGCACTAAATGCTTGATTCACTCTTTCATTCATTCAAAATGGTCTACTTTTCAATGAGTAAATGTCTGAAGGTTGCAGGCATCCCCAAGACTCAGTCTTAGCTCTGGCCATCACTCAAAACCGCAAGACTTTTGGGGCACCTGGGCAGCTCAGTTGGTTAAGCATCAAACTTCGGCTCAGGTCATGATCTCATGGCTCGTAGGTTCGAGCCCCGTGTCAGGCTCTGTGCTGACAGCTCAGCCTGGAGCCTGCTTCTGATTCTGTGTCTCCCTCTCTCTTTGCCCCTCCCTCGCCTACGCTCTGTCTCTGTCTCTCTCTCTCAAAAATGAATAAACGTTAAAATATAAACAAACAAACAAACAAAAAACTGCAAGACTTTTGAGTCAGGCTGGTGGTATTCTAACTGGTTTGGCAAGGTCTCCTCTATGTGTCTTAACAACTATCAGAAATAACGCATAACCACAAGAGTGCCTCCTGGAATGCCTTGATTTCATGCATCGTAATAAAATGAATCACATACGCTTAAGGAAAGGATTTAAAAAATGTAAAGCAAGCAGTACAAGCCCAAATGACGCTGCTACCATTGAGCAGTGCTGAATACGCAATTACATGCTGAACAATAGGTATTAACAAATCAGGCCGAATGCTCGTGAGAAAACGGTCCTCTAATTAAATAAAAGGAGAATCCGAGTTTCTTGTTGCAGGGATTGTTGGTGGGATTAAAGGATTGTTCTGGAGCCCAGTGCACAGAATGAGAGACCTGGCGGCCTGCCTCAGAGCTCTGCAGCTCCCACCTGCTGAGACGCCCCAAGCCCTGAGACCAACTTGGTTTCACTAAGTGGGAGGATTAAGACAGATCTTGACCATCGCTCCCCCTTTGGTGAGGCTTTCATCATCTGGGCCACTGCGTGGCACAGTCCGAGCACTATACAAGAGTGCTGGGCAGGGGTCGGGGGTGGGGCAGGAGTCTGGTCCACAGGCTGGTGCCGAGCCGTGTGCCTTGGGGCAGGGCTGTCTGCCAAAGTAGTACCTTATTCGAATTCACTTAAGGATGCTTTGAATCCACAGGGCCTACCCATCTCTCATACTTGTTCTCTGGGGTTAGGGACTCTCCGGCTCTACACCAGGCCCAGCTTCACAGCTTCTCATACCCAGTGTTGGACCTTCTGAACTGATGACCTACATCATCCCTCATAGCATGAGCCCAGCACCCATCACTGGTTATCTCCTGTCCTCAGCACCCTGCTTCTCCTGCTTTTGGAACCTATCAGACTGTGAAGGTTCTGCCTAGTCTCAGGGGCCCCTGGACACATTTCCAGTTGATTCTGTGTACTGACCCCATTTAGGCTGGATGTTAGGTTTCCTATAGGCACAGGGGAGTGCCATAATGCATACATTTAACATAAACCCCAACTCTTACAGGTCAGCAAAGAAAAAGAAAAAGAAAATGAGGAAAACAGCTCATTTTTCACTTGTCATTTCACAGAATGAGTGTAAGACCCAGGGTAAGCATACATCCCATAGTGAGAATATATTGTTTAACTGAGTATGATTCTGCTTTTCATTTTTTCCGTTTTTAAAGTTTATTTATTTTGGAGAGAGAACGCACATGAAAGGGGAAGGGGCAGAGAGAAAGAGGGAGAAAGAATCTCAAGCAGGATCTGCACTGAGCCGGACGCAAGGCTCAATCTCACGACCATGCTGAGATCATGACCTGAGAGGAAATCAAGAGTCGGACACTTAACCAACTGAAACACCCAGATGCCCCTAATTGTGCTTTTTAAAATAATATGCATATTTTTACATAACCCATCCCCTAAATGCAAGCCAATTGTCCACTCTGGAATTCAACTAAAGAACGATTTTTTTTTTTCAGTGCTTAGAATTAAAGGGCTGGGGGTGGAAGGCATCTGTTGAATTTATACCATACTAGAAGCTATGGGAAGTCTTGGATATTCTCTAATGTTATTTTTACTATCCATGATTTTTGCCTTATTGCTTAGAGCCTACCCTGCAGTATAAAATATGAATCTGTTGCAAATATTTTTAGGTTTTTACTTACATATTCTCCCAAAGGCTCATATGAAAGCCTTGCCTCTGACACTCTTGGCATGATGTGGGAAAGAATGATGCTTCTCCCATTCTCCAATCAGGGTCCTCCTGTTCCCAGTGGTTTGTGCGATAAAGCTTCACTCAGCAGGATGCAGAATGTGTATAGAATCCTTGTAAAACACCAGGAAATGTTTTCCTCAAAACGCTTTATTTGGGCTCAAGATTGTGGCCTTGTCTGAAATCCTGCAGCTGGAATGGGTCAGAAGCCTGGTGAGCTGGGACTGCAGTAAACCACAGAGGGGCAATTAAGACACAGAAGCAGAAGACAAGAGTTGAGTCCAGCAGGCAAGCCATGCACAACAGTCAACTGAAAGAAAAACCGAGCTTAGCCTAAAGTCCTCTGGACTCAAAAGACCAGCCATAGAAGATTAGAGCTGGATTAACTTCAGTGAATCAAATTAACAATAAATTAAGTTTAATAATTGAGTACCTTCTGTATACCAAGCACTCGTCTAGCCTTCAAAAATTCATAGACAAGCAGCCTCATCCTACCTTGTCATTTTAGAAATAAGGACACTAAAGCCCAAGGTGGCCAAAACTTATTCAGTTATACATGAGACATCAATGTATAATTGAAGGCAAAGGCTTTGTTTCCTAGAAAGATTTTGTTTTGGGGGACGTGGGTGGCTCCATCGTTTAAGCATCTGACTTCAGCCCAGGTCACGATCTCACAGTTTGTGAGTTCAAGCCCCATGTCAGCTCTGTGCGGACATCTTGGAGCCTGGAGCCTGCTTCGGATTCTGTGTCTCCCTCTCTCTCTCCCCCTCCCCCGCTCATGCTCTGTCTCTCTCTCTCTCTCTCTCTCTCAAAAATAAATAAACATTTTAAAAGCTTTTTTTTTTAAACAAAGATGTTGTTTTATTTCTACATGGAAACCTCTTTTTACATTTCTTCAGTTTGTTTTCATCCAGTGTTCTCTGTTACCACTATTTTTTTTAAAGACTTCTTTACTGTTATTTTTTTAGAGCAGTTTTGGGTTCACAGCATAATGGGGAGGAAAGCATAGAGATTTCCTATCTACTCCCTCCCCACCCACAGGCACAGCCTCCTCTACCTCCCCCACCACAGTGGCACTTTTGTTATAATTGATGGACCTCCATTGACACATCATTATCACCCAAAGTCCAGAGTTTACATGGAGATTCCCTCTTGGTGTTGTACATTCTATGGGTTTGGACAAATGTACAATGGCATCTATTCACCATTATACTATCGTGCAAATTTTTTTCACTACCCTAAAACTCCTCTGTGCTCTGCCTATTCATCGCTCCCTCCTCCCTAACCCCTGGAAACCACTGATCTTCTCTCTCTCTCTCTCTCTCTCTCCCTCTTTTTAAGAGAGAGAAGGGGTGGGGAGAGGCAGAGAACGAGGGAGAGAGAATCCTAAGCAGGCTCCACAATGTCAGTGCAGAGACCAACTCAGGGTTCGATCTGATGACCGTGAGATCATGACCTGAGCTGAAACCCAGAGGCAGACGCTTAACCGACTGAGCCACTCGTGTGCTCCAACCACCGGTCTTTTTATTGTCTCCAGAGTTTTGCCTTTTCCAGAATGTCATGACTATAATTTTCTTTAAATTATGAAATAATAAGACAAGCTGCTTTCAGTGTATTCAAGTGACAGAATTCCTCCTCCAGTTCACACAGGAATACGGCTTTCGTGCATCTTTAGAGCAGAACTGAATAAATAATGATGTGCGTGTCGTGGCCAAAAACGGCAGAGTAATCACAGAGCATCTATGTGTGCTCTACCCCATGCTGCCTCATACCGAAGTACTTTTAAAAACAGTTTCTGGGGCGCCTGGGTGGCGCAGTCGGTTAAGCGTCCGACTTCAGCCAGTTCACGATCTCGCGGTCCGTGAGTTCGAGCCCCGCGTCAGGCTCTGGGCTGATGGCTTGGAGCCTGGAGCTTGTTTCCGATTCCGTGTCTCCCTCTCTCTCTGCCCCTCCCCCATTCATGCTCTGTCTCTCTCTGTCCCAAAAATAAATAAAAAACGTTGAAAAAAAATTAAAAAAAAAAACACTGTTTCTTAGAGTCAGTATTGAGAACATTTTATCATATACACAGAGTGTGGTCAAGTGGCTGTTTCAAACAGACCCCTGACCATGCCCAGTCAGTCCTATCAGAAAGGAAGAAGCCCAATGCTCTTAAAGCGCATAAATAAATCAAGCCCCAGCTTCATAGTCCAAGGTCCTCTAAGACTCCTGAGGAATATGCACATTTAGACAGATCGGAAGAACACGTGGTTGTCCCAAACTAGCTTCTGAGAGGCAGACTGTGCAGAGGAGGCCTCCCGGAGCCCAGGCCCTGCAGAGGCTTGGATTGGGGGCACATACCCTGGGAGAGGCTTGCATGACTCCAGCCACTCATGCTCTCCAGCTGCCATGAGGGGTCAGGCTCGTCTTGGGAAGGGGAGCCAAGAATAGTTAGATGCTGTTCCACTGGGAGCCCAGGTCCCCAGAGAGGGCTATTCTGGGAGGGAATGCATAGTTTACAGCATCCAGGTCATGGGGGCTGGAGCGCTAGTTGGTCATACCCCCGGTGCCAGGGCGGGGGCTGCGTCCTGTGTGTTCAACTACCCTTAGCATCTCCCCCAGCATCTAATCCACAATAGGCTTGCAGTGGATGCCTTCTGAGTAAATAAACGGCATTTTAGCTAATCCCCGAATACCAGATATCCTCTAAATGCTCAAAATCCTTCTTTGTCTGGAGTTCTTAATATAGTCAGCCACAGAGACTGCTTCTGTGTTCTAGCTGTCAGCAGAATTGGTCCTATTATTACTGTGGCTGTGTATCGTTTCACCTGGCACAGAGCTGGCACACTGTGGACCTTTAATTCAGCTCAGATAATAACTGCAGGAAGCAGTGTGCCTGCTAATGTGTACGGAAGGACGTGCTCAGGGCGGTGGCTTCTCCATGTGTGCGCTTTTTTTTTTTTCCAAGTAGGATTTTTAAATTCAAAACATATGACTTGAATTAGAAACTTAATAAATAATATTACTTCTCTTTCTTTCTCGGTCATCTGTGAGAAGAATGCCCTGAGATTATTTTCTTCTGGAATAGTTACCGTATTGCTATTTGGGTTAAACCCATATAAGTTATTTTGCCCTATTTGTAGGTGATTCAATAAATAGATCCTGGGACACTAACCATGGAGAGCTCTTTGGATTGCACATGGGAGTGCAATTGCATTCACAATTATGAGAACATAAGTAGGCGTGTGTAAATTGTAGTGGCTTTTACCATAATTTTTGAGCAATTACAGCCCTATTGCATTTTGCTGAGAATGTTGCATTTTGCTTCTTGATTCAGATACACTAAATGGGCTTCCTTAGACCAGAGATTGGCAAACCTTTTCTGAAAGGCCTGGTGGTAAATATTTTATGGTTTGCAGGCCATGTGGTCTCTGTTGCTTGAGAGCAGACGTAGATAATCCACAATGAATGGCTGTGGCTGTGTTCCAATAAAACTTTATTTATGGTCACTGATATCGGGATTTCATATGATTTGCATGTGTCATGAAATATCATTCTTCCTTTGACCTTTTTTTTTAATCATTCAAAAGCGGTCAAGTCATTTTTAGCTCATGGACTATACACAAACAGATGGCAGGGCACATTGGGCCTATTGGCCATAGTTGGTTGACGCCTGCCTTAGACTCTCTCAACATCACTATCCAGTGCCTCTCATTCACTCGCTTTTCCTCAGTGGCTGACTGATTCCATTCGGATCCGTCCATGGTGAGTTCTACCACCTGGGGCCAAGCACCTACTTGCACTGCCCTTGGCTACTACTGGAGAGCTAGCCTCACGAGTCACACACCTGGAACTCTTGTCTCCTCCTCCCATTTTTAGAATAGGGTTAAAAAACCTGCACTTCAGAGAGTAAATCTGGCATGATAGAAGCCATGGAAGGAGCCAGATCATATAACTCAGAAGCATAGAGAGGTTAACTTCCAATGGGACAAACTTGGACCAGTGGGACCCAGTAGGTGGGAAAGAGTCAATCCCTCTCTTTCTTCCACCTGTGATAACACAGTTTCTTATACAAATTGACCTGTGACATCTCACAGGGCTGAGGGTTTGCACCTGCCAAGGTCAGTGCTATGCCCAGCGACATGATACATCTCCTAGCAGCTGATTCCTGTGATTTCCTCTCTCACTTTCCTCTTTCTGTACTCTTGTTGCCCTAGGTTTGCACCTCTCAAATAAAGCATCAGCACTTAATCCTTGCCTCAGGCTCTAATCTCTAGGGAACACAGCTAAGACATTCTTAAGAATATATATAAACATTTACTAAAAGTTTCCCAGTCAAAAAGAAAAATGTCTACCAGTGTGTTCAAAACACATGGCAAGGATTGCAAATTAAGCAAGGGCCGGGTAGCTAACATAAATGCACTAGACAGTCAGGGGTGGTGGTAAACTGGAGACCCAAGTTTCATATAAAGAGGGGAAATAAAATTTGGCTTTGGTCATGACAATGCCACACAGGAAAGAGGGCTCAGTAGTCCCAGATCTCTCTATTTTTCAAGACTAACTGTCAGGCATTTTTTGTGTGAATTTTCCTTATTTTTATTTTATTGTTTTAAGTTAATTTATTTATTTTGAGAGAGGGGGAGGAGAGAATGTGAGAGAGGGAGGGGCAGAGAGAGAGAAAGAGAGAGAGAATCCCAAGCAGGCTCCTTGCTGTCAGCACAGAGCCTGATGAGGGGCTGGAACTCATGAACCATGAGACCCTGACCTGAGCTGAAACCAAGAGTTGAGTACTAAACTGACTGAGCCACCCAGGTGCCCCATTTTTTCTTATTTTTAAATGTTGGAAACTGATTTTAAAACTATTAGTTCCAGGTAGGGTTAAGCATATCTATCTGTGGGTTGGAACTGGTTTGGGTAACCTCTAGTGGATAATCTAGGGAGGGAGATTGGAAGGATTATAAAATGTAGAAGCAGCCATCAAGGAGAATTTGGAGGGTGTCACTGAGTAAAAGGTGTGTCCCAGTGGGTGACTTTTTGCTTGTCAGCTCCCCAGACAAATGAACAAAGCGCCCAAGTATTCACATTTTGGGGCTCTGTTCTGTTTCTTAAGCCATAAGGACTTGACCTCTGATTTTTGGAAGGAGCATGTACTACCAGTCTTGGGATGGTGTTTATGATATGGATTAAGACAGGAAATGACTGTTGACATCATCTCTTTTCAGTCTCATGCCCAGTGTTTGCCTCTTCTTGGTGACATCCCCAGAAAGGAGGAGCCTGACTTCCTTGAAGACCGCTGCTCAAAACCTCTCAAAACATTTTATTTCATGTTTACATTTTCTGGGATATCAATACTATATTCAGAATACACTTATTTCCTCTACCTTTAACTCTTTCACTTTATAATTCACCCCCAGGCAATTCATTTCAAGTTTGCTCTATTCTATGTAGGAGCTCTTTATACTGAAAACAGTTACTCTGTCTCATAAAATCTCTCTTCTTCAGGTTGAAGCCATTCAACTTTTTCAGCCATTCTTCCCGAGGCACTATTTTAAGTCTTTCCACTATTTTGGTAATCTTCACTGAACATTTTCCTGATTGCCTGAATCTTTTAGGACCTAGAACCATAAATGGAATAAATATTATAGAAAGGACCTGATTAATATACAGTAAAATTCAATGATCAATTTCCACATACAGGATACTAAATCTTTATTAATGTAGTCTAACCCTACATTTGTTTTTCAGGCCTTCATGCTGCTGTTACCTGTTATACCCAGTCGCACAGGAATTAATTGCTTGTACTGTTTTAAATTTGTACATTATTTAAATTTTGCTTCAGACTAGCTCTGTTTTATATTTTGAGTCATATTTTTCCTCTGTTCTGCTTTCATCATCCGTTTTTATTTTATTTTACTTTGTTTTGTTTTATTTTATTTTGTTATGGTATTTTATTTTAGTGTACTTATTTTGCAAGCTCCCTCAAAGACTTTTGGAAATGAAATGGAGTATAAACAAGTAATACATGAAACACTGTAGCCAATCATTCTTATTTCTCAAAGTTACAGAGAGCAATGTTATTTTCTTCAAGCCGGCCTGGATTAAAGGTTCACATTTCAGTATTCCTGTGGCAGCCTATCAATTCATATTTATTTACAGAAATGAGTCCCATGGAGATGTTTGCTAGTGAACATGTTGTTTTTCTAACTTTCTGTGTGTGTATATACACTCATATGTGTGTTTATAAATATATAGAGGTCTATACATATTAAATGAACATGCATTCCTTGCAACGTTATCTAATCCAGAATTCTCAAGGTTTTCAGCTGTCAGTTTCATTGCTTTAGAATAGAGTTTATTGCCATCTGCTCCTGTCCCATTCTTCAACTCTGTAATTATGTTTTCATGAGTTAATTTTATCCGAAAGCTCAAGAGCTCCATTTTGCCTTATATCAAATCATCTGGTAAATAACCAGGTCAAGCCCAGCACCAAGAACACTGGTAAATTCTCTTCTGGAATTTAGATGGTGTCGGGCAGAGTCTGACCAGTCTATATCACTCCACTAGGAGTGATATAGAATAAACTGTCTTTTTACAGAAATTTAACCATTCACAGTTATGGGAGGAGGTTAAGAGGTTTATGGGCAGCTGTTGTTTCTAACACTGCGGCTGGAGTCTGAAGCCAGCGAGGCGGGCAGTCAAGAAGGAAAGACAGACGTGAAGCAGGACAGGGGGAAAAAAAGACAAACAAATGCAAGAGGATGAGTTGGAATCCCCAACGACAAACTGAAGGGCGCAGCAGCCTGTGTCTCGAGCCTCCAGCTTCAATGATGTGAACAACCCACCGGAGAAACCTGCGCTTCCTCGCGGTGCTAAGCACGCATTGGCTTGGGAGCTGGGAAGCTAAAAGGGGCTGTGTTTGGGGACCTGAAGGGCCCATGTGCCTGGCTTCTGCCCAAACCCACTTGTGTATGTGCTGACCTTCAGAGCTTTAAAAGAATATGGTTTATGCTTAATTTCCAAATGCCACTATATGTATTTCTTGTGGCCCATGCTAACATGGAATTATGCAATGGAAACAATCCTGATAAACACAGTTCCTGCTCAGTTCAATGGACTCAGCATCAATGTGCCACATAGATTATCCACCCAAGCCCATTTCTCCCTAGAGACAGTCTGAATTAAGAGTCTTAGAGTTTTGTCTTATTTATTTATTTTTTCCCCATCCTAAATCCTTGTCAGGTGCTTGTGGCCCAATTCCCAGCTGTGTCTTGGGGAGGACAGGCATGGTGGCTTCTTCCTGAGCACCGCAGTCCCAAGTTCAGAAAGAGATCATGTTGTGGAGGATGGGAGAAAGCCCTGGCGGGATCACAGCCTTTCCCAGATTGGGTTGTTTCTGCCCCCCTTGTGGTTGGGGCTGCCGCCTGTTTCTCATGGCAGTTCCCAAGTAAACAGCCCTTACTTCCTGGCTTTCTCTACTCAGGGTGGCAGGGGGATGTGTCCACCTCTGCAGCAGCCTTCCTGTGTTGACAACACTGTTTGTTCTTCCCGTCTCCCCAGGGAGAAGCTGCCTTATCTTTTCTGTGCAACATATTTGGGAAAAACACATTTTTCTCTCTTAAAGGAATTGATTATTGTTTCTTAAGACTAAAAAGAAAAGCCTTTCTGGATCCAAACACTGACTTAAAAAGATAACCTAAATTCCACTTACAGAGCAAGAGAAAAATTTGTACTAGTGGTGACTGGTGGTACATTTTGGATCATTCTGTGCACTTAAAATATACTGTGTGTGTGTGTGTGTGTGTGTGTGTGTGTGTGTGTGTGTGAGAGAGAGAGAGAGAGAGAGAGAGAGAGAGAGAGAGGGAAAATTTGAAATATTTTTCAAACACCAGACCTACAGTTTTTGGTTTAAATAAACTGGGAATTTGTAGGTGTTCGTTGAGGTGTTTGTAACGATAACCTTTGTGAGACAGAAGTTTAAAATATATATTTAATATAAACATATGTTAAAATATGTACATTTGCAATTACAAGAAAATTCATCACTACCTTTGTGTTTCAACTGTTTTTTTTTTTTCAGGTGGATTCCCATCTTTCATTTATTTCAGAGAGCTACAGGAATTTCCTCTCTGCAATAGGATTCTATGTGCAGGACTATTGGTCTGTTTTCCTTCCTTGATGTTTTCTGTGAGGTTAATTAAGGCTACAAATTTGGGAAGAGGGTGGAGTTGCCTCTGTGTCTTTCATTGATTAGAATAATACATTGTTCCCTTCAAAATATTGCATTGTCCAGTGAAGCTATGTGTACATTTTCACTTTTGAGACAAGTTTGCTGAACTACAATAAGTTACCTGTGTGTATGTGTGTGTGTGTGTGTGTGTGTGTGTTCAGTGTCTTATTGTCCAAGAAAAAAAATATTTTCTGGTCTCAATATTAATTAAATAGGCACAGTTAACATTATTTGCTGTGCTGAAAGCATTAGGCTCTATTTGGAATCAGAGATGAGTCGTCAAGAATTCCCTAAATTAACTGGAGAGATGGTCAATGTAATTAACCACAGTACCAAGCAGAAAGAACTAAGTGATGCAAGTAGGGACAGAAACAATGCATTTTGGGAATTTAGAGAAAGGAGGAATGATTTCTCTGATTTTAGGTGCTGGAGCTTTATTAAGGTCAAGGTGAATTGAGCTCAGCCTTGAAAATAAGTAGAAAGGAGATAGGAGATGGATGAACTGATTTAAAGGAACGCATAGCATTGGCTGGACCAAGACCTCTTGTTTCATTTTCTTATAGATATTTCTTCATCATCTTTTTCTTGTTTTGGAACATGTTGGAACACTGCTTAGGGGTGTTTTTTTTAAGCCAAGCTATAGTTCAGAGCAAAGATTCAGGTAATGAGCAGGATGTAATATTGAGAGCTAACGAACATTGAGTATCTACTCTTTGCCAAGCAGTTGGCATGGACTTTTTAACCCCTGCCATCAACCTGCAAGTGAGGCCATTTGAGGCTTTGATGGATCAGGTAACTTTCAAAAGACATGGTCAGCAGGTGATGGGACAAGGATTCAAATCCTGGCCGTCTAAATCTGGAGACTGAACTCTTCAATATGCTAAAATGCTGCCTTAACAGAGAACTTGATGGCCTACGATTCTAACGCAGGTGAATCTGAAATTTGCACTGGCCCAGCCTTGACTGCTCATTTTTGTCACCTAGCAGACTCATGTCCTGGGTGTGGCTGTGTACTAGAGTGAGTCACCTCTCTCCTTCCATGCTCCACATTATCCCTGGAGCCCTTTTCTCCCCCTCTTGCTACCATGCAGTAAGAACTTGATTCTTGTCCCAGCTCTTACCCTCAAAGCCACCTGCTTTTTTTTTCTGACTCACATTAGGAATCACTTGAGATTAATATCTCAGTGATTTTTATTTCAAATTTTATTTTCCAGCTAATAGACATAGAATAGAAACATACAACTTCAACGAGCCAGAAATCCTCATCATAATAAACATTCTTTATGTTGTATCTGAGAATGACATCTTCAGGATACACTGTAATCCCAGAAAGATCTTCTAAGATGTTTTTTCAAAATAACACAACCTGCCTTTATAAACCTGTGTTTTTTAAAGGGTTAAGTGAAACTGGCCAAGGCCTTAATTATTAATTTCCTAGGACGTGACATTCATTCATTTGATTTTATGCCCTGGATCCTGGGTACATTGAGAAAAAAGTATGAGACTAGCATAAAGCAATCTGATTCTGCTACTCATCATTAAGCTAACATCTTCAAGATATGATCAGAACATAGGTCAGTCTTACTACAAACAAAGCCTGTGTTCCCCCCACTAAACTGTAAACATCTTACTTTGAGAGGACCACACACTGTACTTTTCAAAATTCCAGGCAGGAACAGGAGTTTCTTTTTCTGTTGAGAAAGACCTCTGTTGATGAGCCTCAGATGATCCAACTCCATGTAAACGTAAGGGACTGAGGCTTGAATACTTGTCTTTACAAAATAGCCCTGGGTACATGGCCTAGACACCTGGCCATATATTTCACTTCCTTTGGCGTAAGCTGTCCATTTTTCTTGCAGGTGGAAAATTACTAGTATTAATACAGTCTTGGCCCAGTTAATGAGGTGTACTTGAGCCCTCCCAGTGGGAGCAGGGCCTAATTGCATTTGCAAGCAGCCACCTGCAGGCATAAATTGTCAGTTCAGAGCTGCACATGGTGCTTCCAATGCTGTTCAGTTGTCCCTATGGACACGCAGTTTGGTTCAGAATGCTGAATGTGTGTAGGGGTGTGTGTGAGCATTCGATTTGTATGTGCAAGAAGGGGTGTGTGGAGGAGTAGGCAAAGAACAGCAGAGAAAGGCAATTGTCTTTGATGTAGAATTTAACCTACTCAAAAAATCCAAGCCTTTTGAAAATACCTCTTTAAAAACATCACAAATGTTCGCTTCCACTGAGGAAGCACTGATGACCACTCCAGGGACCATCTTTTCCTTAGAGAAGTTCGGAACCAAGTTATTTACCCAAGGATTGCCATTGACCCATACAGAACTGGACTTCTGGGGACTGGTCTAGGTCATGTGCCCGCTTGCTTAGTTTCTTGGGAAGTCTTTCAAAATGAAGCTCGTTTAGTAAATATAGTGTGAGAATAAATAAAGGAAATGGTGAGATCTTTCCTTTTTTTGGATATTTTCCTGTGCTCTACCATTTAAAAGGAATTTGCCCCAATTAAAAAAAAAAAAGCAAACGATTTTATTTTTATAGACTGGATTGTAATATTAACCAGAGATGTTAGTGTGAGTTTTGGTAAAACATCTTGGGAAAGATCAAAACTGGAATTAAATTGAACAAGGGTAAAATCGTGGTGACTCAATCAGCTGAACACGTTAGAAGTGGTCTGTAACACTAGGATGGAAACTCATCTCCTGTCAGAATTGATGTCCTTCTAAATAATAATAAAAAAAAATATTGTCTGGCAATTTGAAATTGGCAGGAGAGGTCATTTATTACAATGCAGGAAAAAAGAGAGAGCCTGTTTCAGTGCCAATCTTTTCTACCTTTACCCTTGACTTCATCTCTTGGTCTACCTTTTAAAAACTTTTCTCTAACAGTTTCCTCCTCTTGCTTTCAGTAGCATGGGAGTCACGTGGAGCTGTGATGATGGCACCAAGAAAAACCTGGAGTTAAAAAAACTTACCTGGATCTATTGAACTACACTGCCACCTGCTAGGCTGTGACATTGGGAAAAATACTCAACCTCTCTGGTGTCGATTTCATCATGATAAACTGGGAATAATGGTCAATCTAATGTCATGAAGTTGTTGGGAGAATTCACTGATTCGAATTATATAGGGCAATTAGCTACTGTAACACCTGCCCCATTGGAACTGCTTAGTACGGGACAAGAATTACTGTTACTACTTTCAAGAGACCAAATGAATATTTTCTTCCTTAATAAAATGGTAACCTCTAAGCTATCCAGAGGTTTTAGTCAGGGAAGAGATATGTGTTATGTCATTTGTAATTTTTTATCACAATATCATTACCTGTCTATTTAAGTATTCAGCATATAATATGTATATGTATATATATATGTATATGTATATGTATATGTATATGTATATGTATATGTATACTTATGTGCACCTGTATATGTATGTGTGTGTACTGTTATGGCTGCAATGCTTGTACCCCCCAACCCCAAATTCAATTCTTTGAGGAAATCCTAACCCCAAAGATGATGATATTTGTAGGCAAAACCTGTTGGGTGATTAGGTCATGAGTGGGGAACCCTCACAAATGGGATTAGTGCTAAAGAGACCCCACAGAGTTCCCTAGCCTCTTGAATCTTCCAGGATACTACAAGAAGTCTACAACACAGAAGCTGGCTTTTTGACCTCCGACTTCCAGCCTCCAAAACTGTGAGCAATACAGTTGTTGTTTATAAACTGCCCTGTCTGTGGTATTGTTATATACATCGCATGTTTCTATAGCAGCCTGAATGGACTCACATATATGCATATGTGGATAGGTACTTAGGTAGGTAGGTAGCTAGCTAGTCAGACAGGTAGATAGATATCCACGTAACTAACACTCCGATCAAGATATGGAATATTGCCATCACCCCAAAATGTCCCTGTCTATTTCTTTCCAGTCTGTCATCCTCTCCTCTGGAGTCAAACCCTATTCTGACTTTTATCCCTGTGAACCAGTTTGTCTGTTCTTTAACTTCCACATAGATGGACTCATACAGAAAACACTTTTTGCTTTTGGCTTTTTTAGTTCTATGTAGTGTTTTTGAGATTCGTCCATGTTGTTGCGGGCATTAGTCATCTGGTTTTTTTCATTCCTGGACTATTCCATTGTGTGAATATAACACGTTGTCTCTTGTTCATGGGCATTTGTGTTATTTCCAGTGTTGTTTGTAATTTGAAGTGCTTCAGTTGAGATGGCATGGTATATATACTTTTGCATTAGATGACTTTATTCTACATCTTAGGATATGTCACATTTTGTAGGCATTTCCAAGCTTAAATGAATAGGGTATAAGAATACATTAAACCTAGATTGTATGCTTCAGAATGGAACTTTAGATTCTAAAGGAAAGATAGATGATAGATAGATAGATAGATAGATAGATAGACAGAGGTGTAGATAGATTCCAAAATAGCCCATTTACAGTTGTAGATTCCTAGGTTTTTTGTTTGCCTGACTCCTGCCAGTGAAATATTGTTGCATTTATCCTTAGGGGATCTTGCTGTCAGAGCACTTAGGACAGCCGGCTGACACTTTTTGAGTTTACTCATTAGTTTATAAACTGTTACACCTGTTTGATAAGAAATGCTTATATGTGTGAAAGAATTGGTTCTTAGACTTGTTTCCATTGCAACCTGGTCATGATAGTTGGGAAAGAGGCCAATGGCCCTCCTGTGTCACCAACAATTGGAAGTTCCTGATACTGCCCCCCAAAAAGCATGATGGTTTTGAATGGCTTGATACAAAGCAATATATTTTAGGAAATTTAACTGTAAAACAGAATCATTATAAAGCAAATGCCATTTTGTTTTTCATTGAACTAACCATCTTTCCAATGGCACCAGGTGAGGGTTTTTGTTTAGCAAGGGTTTAGAGTTTATACAAACTAATGCACCTTAGACATTAATTTCCCATTTCCAAGTCAAAAGAAGTTATGGTCAATGTGGACCAAGGGAGGCTCACATTTGGCTGATGCCCTTGTAGATATGATCTTTTAGGCCTCAGACTCCTCACCTACCACCGTGGTGCGTTTCTTCATTGCCTGCCAAGGACTGTCTTGGGGATTATTTTGATCCTACTATTATGTTTAGAACCATGCCTTTACACAGTTTTCTGGTTTTTGTCTGTATGTTTGCTGGATATTTTGCTTGCTTATTTTTGTTTGTTTTCCCCTTCTTTTTTTTTTTTTTTTTGATACTTCAATACTAAATGGGACTGTTGGTTGCATTATATGCCTTTACCCACCTTATCATTACCTTTCCTTCAAATGAAAGTTTGTCATTCACATGCCCTTACTTCCTAATGATCTCATTCATGCCAAAAAAAAAAAAAAAAAAACCCACACACAAAAAACAAAAAACTGAAACTTGGAATCTGAGGCACAGATTTTTCTGACTCAGTTTCCTGTGTTCTGAAAGAAACTCCTTTTTCCTAAGTGAGTTGTCATTCTTCCTTTGTTAAGACTTAAGTGGTGTTAAGGTAAATTCTCATGTTATCCTCTAATGCCAATTTGAGCCTTTAAAAATATTGGAAGCACTCCCACCAATGAATTATGTTCCCACAATTTCCTAGCATCATTCGTTGCTCTCAGTTCACAGATGCAAACACAAAAACACATCCTTTTGCACATAACAATCATAAATACTTTCCCAAGGTCAAGAATATTTGTGTCAGGAAAGCCTTATTTTACCAAAGAACAGGATGTCCTGATAAATTCAATATTCTGAGAATTATCATATGTACCTATCAAGGTTCCTATTGTGAAACCTTCTACTCTCTTCGCTGAGAAAGGGGTAAACCCTTGGTCCGTCCTCACTACCTTCCAAGGGATCCAAGTTTTAACTCAAGGGTTCACAAATTATGAGAGACAGATATTTATATCACAAGGGAAAAGAAGGAAGCTTTGATGATTGAGCACTTTTAAGCTTATCCCGATATATTAATCCTGGTACTATTTTTGCTTTGACCCTAATTTTATTTTGTTTGGTTTTGAGGTTTTTGTTTTTTTTTTTTTTTTTTTTTTGTTTTTTACTTTCATCTTGATGTTTATTTTTGTCAGCTCTAGAATTTCTGTTTTTCACTGTTGGCTGGACTCCTGTGCTAGTCAGTTTTTGGTTGCTTTTATTTTTGTTACTTCTTTTGGTGGTTGGCAAGGCATAACTCCTTACCTCAGCCAAAAGCTGATCCTGACCCAAAGGATTGATCACTGGAGTCTAGGTCACTTTGTTATCATATCTCATGCATGTACTTAAGAGTGCTCTTACTTTAGGGGTGCCTGGGTGGCTTAGTCAGTTAAGTGTCTGACTTCGGCTCAGGTCATGATCTCATGGTTCGTGGGTTCGAGCCCTGCGTCAGGCTCCGTGCTGACAGCTCAGAGCCTGCAGCCTGGTTCAGATTCTGTCTCCAGCCCCCTGCAGAGCTGTCTCTGCGGCTCCCCTGCTTGTGTTCTCTCTGTCTCTCTGTGTTTGAAATAAAAATAAACATTAAAGGAATAATAAAACAAAAGAGTGCTCTTACTTTGTGAGAAGTTAATGGGTGTTTTGTAAACAAACAAACAAAAACAATGCCAGCTGTTTTTTGCTTTAATAATCTAAATATATATCAATTATGAGAAAAAGCACAAATAAATAGCTGTTATTACAATAATTTACCTTTCAAAATGATAAGAAAACCAGGAAATTGCAAGTAGGTAATGTGATTGTGACATTATTATTCAGACAAGATTGCCTGACAAAGTGTGGATTTTCCCTAATTTGGAATCAGGCGTGGATAACTGATCTGTCCCTCCCAAGAGTGACTTGTTAGTGACTCTTAGAAGACACTAGCATGGAAAGGTTGGACCCCAGGGACTTTGGAGTCAAACGTATTAGCCCAAGTTTTTCGTCCAGCTGTGATATCCTGAGCGTATTCCTTACATGTTTGAGATTTGGTTATTTCTCTTGTAAACGAGGATCCAAAATCCATCTCACAACATAGTTGTAAAGACCTAATAGCTTAATGTATACACACATGCATACAGCAGATAAAATGGAGTAAAATTGGCGGCTCTGATTATTCTGATAATGATCATAAGGCAGAATTTATAGGAAAAAACAACATATCTGCTAAGAGGCTGAGAAATTTATAACTTGTAACTCACGTGAGTTAAATTTTACTTAGAACCTTTGTTGTGCAAACATTAAAGGGTAGAGGCAATCAAATCCAGTATGCAACTTTTACATGAGGCAGGTTATGATGACCCAAGGTTCCCATCTCACAGGATGAGTGTATCTGCATCCAGGACCACACAGGTGGAGACACAGAGAAGGGGCATTCTTGATTTGAGTGAGCATTGACAGTGTTTCCTTTCCCATCTCTCTGCACCCCTGTGCCAGGACACGTTCTTGCATTCGTGAAGACCTTCAGTCTAGGTCTAGGCACACTTTGCTGGTCTTTGATAAGCTCTCTCACTAAAATAGTGCTACATTCCTTTTCTGATCTATTTTGGGAAAGTACACCTCTCTACACTTACGTGCTTAATAGTTGGGAGACTCAAGATGGCAGGTAGGTTTCTTATTGAATAATAAGAAAAAGTGCAGTGACTAAGGAGGGTGTGAGAAGGTTCTCACATCACATCCACTTAAGTGGGAAGGGAGTAGCATGGCTGATAAGTGATGGGTAGGTGAAGGGCTGGGCAGGGTTCAGGGTGATGGCTGAATGCAGAACATTTGTTGACACTGCTTTAGATCCTACACTACAGCCTGGGCCCTTTGCATGTCTGATAGTTATTTGCCTAAACCCTTTTCTTATGAAAGTGGGAGGCAGAATATGCACCATCATCTTTCATTTTGGGGGCCTCCGTCTTCCCTCTCAGCTTACCCCTTGTCAACTTTCTTTGTACTTCCAGATGCAAGCCACCTTCCAGAAGCCGATTCACTGAATGCCCAAGTCAAATGCATTCAGTGTGACCGATCCACAAAACTTCCACTTTCTAAAGCTATTTTTGATGGACTACTTTTCATTTTTGCCTTCGTAACGGTGGGCTAAGGCATCTTCAATACGTTTCTGCCCTGCTTTCTGCTGCTACTAGCTGGAGAATGAGAGAAACAGAGACAGAGACATGGAGATGGGAGACATAAGGAAGATATTTCACCTGGGTAATTATTGAATATGAAAATGGCTACGCATATATCATTATGCACGAGGAGATTATATTGGTAGGGATTCTTCACATACTCAAAAAAGATACACATTCTGGAATATTTTCTTGAATATCAGGAACGATTACCATTGTCTGCTTGTATGAGTAAGGATATATTCTTGAAAAATATATTCATAGGAATGCTTCATATTTGAGAATATAGTCTTATAATATGTCCCTCTTACCTCTGCAGTGTTTCTCTTCTGCCCCGTGGCTTCCTTTTCCAAGTTCTCATTCCTCCCCTGTTCCTTTGGGTTCTTCCTTTCTTTGCCCTTTGGCTCCAGCGAGAGCAGTGGTGACTGTGACAAAAACAAGTTAAGCATTCCTTAAAATACTGTAACGAGGACAAAAACAAAACCCATGAGCCACGGCTAAATAGTTGAAAAGTCTAAGTAAATTCGATGTATCAGCCATTTGGTGAATTCTCTTTTCTACTAACTGGCTTTAGGCGAATTGTCCACTCAGCAAATGGACTTCTAGTGACTTCATCCAGATGCTGGGTTTTGTGAAAAGAGGTCGCCTGGTGAACACACGGAGCTTGGAAGAGATCAGTTGTTTTTTTTGTTTTTTTTTTTTTTTTTAACATAAATTGCCGTGGGAACGTACAGTAAAATGTAGTTCTGTCTGAGCAATAGTGGCATGGCTCAGCTGATCCCCGGCCTGGATATGTAGGTGCTCTAGTCATGTCCAGTGCTGATGATTGAACAGGACTTAGTATCTCTGTGTTCACTGGGAACCTCATCAATTTTATCGAATTCAGGAAATAAGGAGAATGAGCACGGCAAAGTTTCTGTGATGTGTATAACCAAAACTACTTTAAAAATAATTGGCAACACGGGGCACCTGGGTGGCTTAGTTGGTTAGGTGTCCGACTCTTGTTTTCAGCTCAGGTCATGATCTCCTGGTTCATGGGATCAAGCCCCAAGTCCAGCTCTCTGCCGACAGTGCTTGGGATTCTCTCTCTCCTCCCCCTGCCCCTCTACGGCTCACACTTGCACTCATACTCTCTCGATAAATAAATAAACTGTTTAAAAAAAATGGCAACAAAGATTACTAAAGTGCCTAATTACTTCATTTGGCATAATGTAAAACTACAAAGCTTCAAATGATTTTTGTTTGGTGGTCCTTGTTGAAATGCCCATGCTATAGCTCAACTTCAAAGAGTCATCATGGTAACTCTAGGAAGAAAACATTTTTATTATTCCCCTTTTGCAAGGGAAAACTGAACTCGGCGAATTTGATCTGATCACAATCTTTTTGCCAGTAAATAGGGATTCAGAATCTGAACAAAGTAACATTACTCAACCTAGACCAGCACTCTCCAATAAAAATAGAATACGAGCCACCTATGTAATTTTACGTTTAAAAAGTAAAAAGAGGGGCGCCTGGGTGGCTCAGTCGGTTAGGCGTCCGACTTCGGCTCAGG